TACTCGCCCTGATGTGGCCTTCGCTTTGAGCATGGTCAGCAGATATCAATGGAACCCTGGAAGAGCACATTGGACCGCAGTCAAGAATATTCTTAAGTACCTTCGGAGCACCAAGGAATGGTTTCTAGTCCTCGGTGGGAGTGATGACCTAAGAGTGCGAGGGTATAGTGACGCCAGTTTTCAGACCGACCGAGACAACTACCGGTCACAGTCAGGATGGGTCTTTACCCTGAATGGAGGAGCAGTAACTTGGAAAAGTTCCAAGCAGGAGACCGTAGTTGATTCGACGTGCGAATCAAAATACATAGCAGCGAGCGAAGCGTCAAAGGAGGCGATATGGTTGGAGAACTTCATTGGAGACCTTGGAGTTATGCCAGCCATAAAGGAGCCTATGGAGATTTTATATGATAATGAAGGAGTGGTTGCCTTGACCAAGGAACCGAGGGATCATGGTAGATCTCGACATATCGACAGGAAATATCATTTTATTTGACATCGGGTGGAAGAGGGACTCCTCGTAGTGAAGAGGGTATCGTCAGAGGATAACCATGCAGATCCCCTTACGAAAGGACTGAGTAGGGTTAAGCACTTACAGCACGCTAGGAGCATTGGGCTAAAGGACGATATTAGTTTAGATTAGATAGTTTAGAAACGTATGATAGATAAATTGTAATTAACATTTGATGATTAAATAAAGGAGTATTATTTATGAGTAAAGTTACTGTCTTGTGTTAATTATTTACCTATTGTTTCACTTTGCATGTTTTGACTTCCTGAATAATAAGATTATTCGAACGGTCCACATTCGTTTATACTTTGGGAGTAGGTATGAAAGAAGACTGTCATGAGTTGGCTTGTAGACTGTCTAAAGTGTATTAGACATAGCAAAGGTTTGATGCAACGTTCATGAGTGCTTATGAATAAGATTTGAGCATTGGATTAAACCCACGCTTGCTGGCATCACTTCATGGAATTTATCGCAAGTGATCGCAAGACGATAATATCATATAGTCTTTAAACCTAGATATATAGTTTATTGTTTGCGAGTTGGTTGTGCATTGATAATGCGTAAATGCATCAGTGACTTGATGTTATAAAACGCATTGGTGTGCATGATTCAATAAGTGAATGGTAAATGCATATAAGTCGAAGTTTATCTGTTCTTTTTATCCTAAGCGGGTAAAAGCGATATATGGGCCCCTCGATGATTTGGTTTGACTTATGTGGCGGGCCCGGTCAGGATTGAATTGATGTGTTCAATAAAGTTCTATGTCAGACAAATCAGAGAATAGAGATCAAGAAACAAATTGTGGACAATTAGTATGACTATGTTCCGTGTAATTGTCTGCATGATTTCTAGAACGAAGGACTGTACGATTCCTTATCTAAAGGACATGTTACTGGTAAGATCAGAGTTGACAGCAGCTTATGAGAGCTACGATTGCTAATCGGATCCTGAAGTCGTACTTGCAAATTTAGCTATTAGACTTATCCAAGTGGGAGACTGTTGGATTAGTCTCTAAGTCCATAACTATATTTGGTATGTACTTGACCCGGTTGAGCATGGTCCTTTTGGGTTGCCTTCACCAAAGCAACTGGACAGGATGATTTATAAAGAAAGAGGATATTGTGGTTTATTAATATATTATAAGAATAATATATTAAAATAATATAAAATATGATAGATTTATTTAAGCATTTCATCTTTTTAGTAATTTTGTACTTCTATCTTTCTATAAAGGCATTGTATTTTTAGAATTTCTTTATTTAGACATTAAACTATCAAAAACCCATACAATAATAGCGTTGTACCTTTAGCTTTTCCATTCCATGGTTGTATAAATTTAAATGTATTGTTATTATGTGTAAAAATAAGTAATACAGAGTATGTTTTATGCCATTGTCTCGAAAAATGCCTTTATCGCCCATGGGTCATGCTTAGCATGGCCCTCGAAAATGCCTTTACCGTGAAGGGCCCCTTTTTTTTCATTTTGCCCTGGACCTCAAATTTTCTTGGAACGGCCCTGCCCTTTGTCGAGTTGGGCAGTGTCTTTCTATCTTGCTTCAATTTTACCAAGGGAATGCTTATGCTAGAATCAATAATACATGTGCACATTGCTTGTTAGGGTATTTGAGGAACATGGTGATTTCTGAATTCGAGAGCATCCCGGATCTGCTTGAAAGACCGTGTGATCATTTTTTGAATGTGATAATTCAACCAAATGACCGGTTTTAATGAAACTCGACTACGAAGATAATCCTTAAAGGAATAGTTTTAAATCAGGCAGTGTTGAGAAACCACGAGCTAGGGATTTATATTTTTATATTCTTCTAATTACCAAAAATAAAATCAAATAAACATTAAATGTTGATTTTATCTCATAAATAAGGGATGATAGATTCAAAGATAATTATAGGAAATAAATCCCAAAAATAATATTCCCCATAACAAGGCGTTGCCTTTTCGCACCATTTTGGTTAAACCATATCAAACTCGTTTTATATAAACGTGCACTTTGCATCTCCTAACTTGTCTGAAGTCAAGATTTAAACTTTATTGATAATCTATAAATTCTATTACACTTGAATAACTAGGTGATATTAAAATCAACAACATTGCTTTCTATGATTGAGGAACAAATTAAAATACAAAATCAAACTTCCTTATCATATCATTTTGGACGTACTTCTATATCTAACACTCATAGTCGTAAGAATGATTTATTTTTTAAACAACTGAAATTGCATAAAAAATAAAAAAGTCATAGGGAAGCTAGAAGCAGTTTAGAGATACAAATCAAAAGAGAGAAAAAACCAACACCATCTGTTTTAAAGTTTGTAAAATATCACTTTGACTCCCTCGAGTTGGAACTTTATAAAATGTCACTTTAACCACTCAACTTTCTAAATTTTGTTTTTACACCATAATATATACAATCTGATTTTTCTTCATAATTTCCGTTCATTGACTTAAAAAAATAATTTATAACGAGTTTATTTTATTTTTTATGTATATGTTAGTATAAATTTTAGTTGGTAAACGTCTCAACGCAAATTTACAACTTTCATTCGTTATTTTTATTAAAATATTAGTTTTTCTCAACGTAATTTAGAACTTTCATTGTTCATTGAAAAAATAGTACTTGCTTTTTTCGACATCATTTTTTTCGTTTTCCTGCTTCTTTTCATGTTCATTTCCTACGCATGAGTCGGGTTTGAATTTTCGTTACATTTCAACATAAATTTGTATACGATTTTGTGCTTATTTTTATATACGTTTCCTACATATGAATCACGTCACATATAATATGTTACCTTTCAAAAATATAAATTGGAGTTAGTCGGTGGTACCGATGTTGTACATTTATCTACCAATAAATACAATGGTATCTAACTTTCATCAATACAATCGTTAAAATTGAACTATAACAAATACATTAATACTTATAGTAAACTTCAATACATATGAGGTGGTTTATAAAATATTTTAGATAGTTGTGGATAAATTAATTAAATTTACAAAAAAAAATATTATATAAAAAATTATTCATTGGAGATATTATTTAATTTTAAATTAAAATTAAAGGATTATGATATGATATTTATTTTGATTTATATATGAGTTAACAATTGGAGATGCTCTTATAAGTTTCTTTATGATAAACTTTAAAAACATTTTTTTTTAGACATTCTCTTGTAACTTGGTATTTAAATAAATTTTAAATAATTAAATATACACCGAGTAAGACATATAATAAAAATATGTTGTTTACCTCCAAATATTTATTATTAATAATTACGAGTATTGGCATTAAGAGCCATTTGCTTACGTGCGCCGAAGTGCGCATTTTCTAACTACGTTACGAAAATAAATATTAGCAAAAGAGAGCGACTTTTATTATTATATAAATACTCAAAGAAGAAAAGTAACACAGTTAGCGTGTCATCTTCTCAGCCCTCGCCATCTCCCTTCCCAAGTCTCCTCCCCCGATCGATTTCAGTAAACCCTCCGAATCTAACACTCAACTGCTTCATCATCGGTCATCATCAAGGTTAGTTTCAACTCGTAAAATCTCTTTTTCATCTCTTATCGGTTCTTTATTCGCTCAATTTTGCTTGTTTGCATTATTTTGATTCCAGTATTGTTCGTTAGTGATAGGTCTTTGTTCGTTTTAGGGCTGGTAAATCTGATTTGATCAATTTCATAATGTTTGCTGATTTATTGGAGAGTTTAGCATTAATATTACATTTATTAGTCGATAAATTCACTTTTTTTCCTCGTTGGTTTGTAACAGTTTCTGTTTGACTATTTTTCGGGTAATTTTGTTGATTTTGTATTGATTCTGAGTGCATATATGCCTAAAATGATCATGTTTATTAGTTTATATACAACCTAACTGCTGTATAAGTTTAGGGCAGTAACTCGTGAGATACCAAATACTATTAGGTTTCATGAATCAATGTTCTTATGGAGAATGTAACAAATGGACAAGAGAATGACTAGGAGCATGCTGATTTTATAGGGATTATGTGATAAGTTACCATAACTTTCTCTAAAAATGATTTTGTGGGAGAAATGAATATGAAAGGAATGACTAAAATTGAAAACCATGAGAATCATGACATAAATGGATAGACTAAAATTGGAAACCATGGTACTTTGAGAAGCATGTATAATACATTTACAGCAAATCATTTTATCTCAAAGTAGTGAGATGGACTAAAATTAGAAACCATAACAAATGCAACCTATGGAAAATCTCTTGACTATATCTTTTTGTTAGTTTTGACTACTACAATTCGTGATCTATTTTTCATTGTCCCTTTATCAGGTACACTTGGTCATATTGTTGAAGATCAATTACCTTTTACTGACCTCCTAAACCCCAAACCCTAAACCCTAATACCAATTCTATCAGATAATGAAGTTTTCATGTTGACACACACATTGTCTTATCAAACTCAAACTCCACTATAAACCTTCAAAAACTCAAACTTTCATGGAGGGTTTTCATCTTGATACTAAATGGGAAGACATCACATGTCCCATATGCCTATCCTACCCCCACAACTCTGTTCTTCTCCAATGCACCTCCTACAATAAAGGCTGCCGCCCTTTCGTTTGTGACACCGATCATCTCCACTCCAATTGCTTACACCGCTTCCGTATCGCAACCGGGACATTGACCGAGTCAACCGGTACATTAACCGAGTCAACCGGGACATTGACCAACAAACCATCATGCCCACTTTGCAGAGGCGATGTCACGGGTTGGGTGGTGATCAAAGAGGCAAGGGTAAAATTGGACGAAAAAAAACGATGTTGTGAAGATGAAAAATGCACATTCTCAGGAACTTACACTGAGCTTCATGAACACGCGCAAACAGAGCATCCACACGCGTGTCCATCAAAAGTGGACCCCGCAAGACAACAAGATTGGGAAAATTTTCAACAATCATCTGAGATAATCGATGTGTTGAGTACTATACATTCAGAGGTCCCACATGGGGTGGTGTTAGGGGATTATGTTATAGAGTATGGGGATAATGAATCTGGTGATGAATATGAAGATTTTCCAGGTGATGATGGGAATTGGTGGACTTCTTGTATTTTGTATCAAGTTTTTGATAATTTTAGGAGTTCTAGAAATAGAAGAAGGGGGAGAGTGAGTAGAGAGAACCGTGGATTGAGTTATGATACTTCAAATTCTGATGAAGGGTCAGTGGTGTCTATGGAGATTCAAGAGTATAGAGTGGATGAAGGGGATGATGAATTTGTGAGTAGTAATAGCTTATCCAGGGGTAGAACAGGGCATCGAAGGTGATTTTGTTTATCTTTAATCTTTTTCTAACATACTAACATTAAAGATTAAACATAACATGCAAGAAATAGCAATGTACTTTCTTTCACTCATTTGTTTATCTTAATTACTTTTGTTTCTTCATTGAAAGTACATTGCTATTTTTTTGCATTTAGTATTTTTGTTGAAGTTTAGGTATTTTACAATGAAATATTGTATTTCATAGATGAGTAAGTTTTTCATGTTTGTTGAAAGTAGATTTTTGCTAATTTAATCACCTGTTTTGTATTAATATCATATGTGACAGTTCTCGCAGACGTCCTTCCCGCTTCCATTATAATTAGGTACAACAACACATCTCACTTCTATTCATGATACAGTGTGTCATTCTTCATTTTTTTTTTGTTAAAAGACCAAAATACCCCCATTATATAGGAAAATCAATAGGTTTTTTGATTCATGTGTTCGTACTGGGACTTGACTGGAAAAGTTTTCTAGGGCTATTTCTATGATGAAGGTGAGGAGGGCATTCATGTGTTTTTGCACGTACAATAAATTGCAATTTTTGTATCACCTATCACACCATTATTTTTTTTTTGCTATTATAAATTTACTTTTATTTATCTACAACACCATTATTTTTTTAATATCACAAACTTTAATCAAATAAACTTCTTAATTTCCATAAATAACTTAAACTATGTTTTAGAGTAAATTAAAGTTTTTGTCCCTGTGCTATAGTGGTTTTTACAGATTTGGTCCCTGACATTTTCTTTTTCTTTTATGTTCCTTGTGGTTCTGTGTTGGATATGTTCCTTCCCATTAACACCGTTAAAATAAGGACTTTAAATATGTGAAAAATTACTAGTTTGCCCCTCCTTTTGATATTTTTATTACACTTAGTGCATTAAAAAGGGTCCAGGTCCAGGAGGAGGGACGGGACGTGGCGAAGAAGATGGAGCGGGTGGGGCCCACATTATATTACTCTAATCATAATTATAATAATTATAATTTATAAGTACATAATAAAAATGTTTAGAGGGGCAAACTAGTAATTTTCACATATTTAAGGTCCTTACTTTGACAGTGTTAATGGAAAGGAACATATCCAACACACAATTGAACCCCAAGGAGCATAAAAGAAAAAAATGTCAGGGACCAAATCCGTAAAAACCACTATAGCATAGGGACAAAAACTGTAATTTACTCTATTAATGTTTTATCGTAATTCTATTTCGAACTTAGTCAATATGATTTTTATTATCTTACATTTATTAAGTGATGTGATGTATATATAGAATTTTCTATATCTAATATCTAATCATTTCTTGGTTTTATGTAAAGTTTTCTGTTGAAATTTGCTAGATTTCCACGTGGCAAAAGGAAGCTCACTGGTTGGAAGACATTGAAGAAAAAGGCTTGCAACCTGAGAAGACAAATATGTGCGATGTGATCCTGTGTGCTGAATTTTGTTGATGGTTTCATGGTTTTATGTTTGTTACCTTCATCCAAATTTAAGCTTTTTTGAGTTCATTCCTGCATGGATCACTGAATAAATTCAGACCCTTGTACATTGATTGATGGAACTCTTTCCTTTTTCTTTCTCAAACAAATTTAAAACACACAATGATTTTAGCATCTATTGTTCATGTAGAATGTAACAATTATGGATCCTTAGCTCTTTTTTTAATCTCTAATTGTTATGCACAATGATCCTAATAAATTTTAGGTTGCGGTTGTTATATAATAAGAGCATATATGACGATGATACGAAGCATATTTATGTCTTTTAGGATATTTTCATAAAAATGTCAAAAGCTCAAACAGTTATATATTTAACAATCAATGTTTTTACCATAAGTTCTAGAAGAACAATAGTTCACAAACCTAATGAGTTTTGGATATTTATATTTTATTGGTTATATTCATCAATTATGTTACAAATTATGAATTTTGTTAGTGTTACGAACTTCCAGAATTCTATATCTCTTTCTAAACTTAAAAGAATGTATAACTTTTGCTACATATATGATGATATATTACAAAAGATCATAAAATTGTGATTATGGGTTTTAAATCTTTTCATCCTGTCTATAAACTAGAATGAATGATTGTATGTACCAAAATCTTTATTACTAGTAAAAAGCAAATATATATATTTGGATTGAAACGTTATCCAAAAAAATGCTATATTTTGTTAATGCTTAGGGGCTAATGAGCTATTAAGTAATAAGAAAGGACCAAATGTGATAATGTCTGATAGTTACAGGGCATACAGATAAATATTATTTCTTCCGCTCAACAGAATAACCGAAAGAAATCATAAGGTGGCGACTGTACAATGTACATCTCATGTCAATATCTATTATACTATTTTCTCCTCCGTTACTATCTTCGATCTCCCCATTTCAATTGGTTAATTTCTCGTGGAAATTCGATCCGATTAGCTGCATTAATTCCACTCTGTTTCTGTTAAAAATCTCCTCCGTTTGATCAGCATCAGCAATTCCGACGGCGATAGAAAATGGCTAAGGAATTGGAGACTGGAAATCGTCTGGTGTTCGCTTATTATGTTACTGGCCATGGATTCGGGCATGCAACTCGTTGCGTTGAGGTAAATGTATCAGTTAACTGCTTCGATTTGGTTTTTGTTTTTCTTGTAATGTTGTAATCGGGTTATTTGATCTTTTTCATTTATTATAAGCTTCTCTTCTGAGTGATATAATTGACGATAATGATGAAGACGACAAATAATCACGATAACCCTATAGAATTTTAAATACTCAATTAACGATGAATACTAATTTTTGCTGATGTTGCATGACGTGGGAACGATACTGGTCATTTGCTAGCATAAGAAGTAGAATGTCGCGAAAATTAATTATCTCCTCTGCATAATAAGAGTAAAATAGCATTTAGGATCAATGGTGGGAAAGAAATCGCGGTATCAGTGGTTATTACTTGGAATTTTGTATGTATATCTCTCCAATGTAGGGTCCAAATTAGATTTCAATCCAGCAGTATATATGTTGTGTCAATTCCAATTCAAATCCACGGAATTGGAGTTTCCAGGCTTATTGTAATTGAAAACTCTTGTAATTGATAACTGTATTAGCTTCAATTTTGAACGCTGTGATTTCCTATAAAACACTTCACAGAGGTGTTATTGGGTTGTGATGATTTTATTAGATTGTACTTATATAATTGTAGAGAGCAGTTTTGGGTTTTGGATCAGATCTTTCCATATAATCATGGAAACAAAAATGACTCAAGACATTGGCAAAGCTTATAGTTATTTTGCATTGATTCTTCTGTACATGTTAATTAACTTTTATGTTATCTGTATTTGATAAACTGTATGCATGTTACTGTTTATGCACATAGCTCAGTGCCACAAAATGATTGTTAATTAGTCTCTTTTATGTATTATTTAATATTTGGGGTTCTGTGCAGGTTGTTCATCATCTGATTCTTTCTGGTCATGATGTTCATGTGGTTACTGGTGCTCCTGATTTTGTCTTCACTTCTCAAATACAATCTCCACGACTTTTCCTTAGAAAGGTAGTTTTAAAAGCTCTTGTTTCATGTACATTACTTGATTTAGGGGAAAAAAATCCTGCTTTTTTATCTATAAATTCTTTTGGTCATATGTTTTTTTGTGTGATAGCTAGTGATAGACTGTGGAGTAGTTCAAGCAGATGCTTTAACAGTAGACAGACTTGCCTCCTTGGAGAAAGTATGTTTAGTACTTATGGTTGTTTATTTTATTCTATTGCATGTTTATATAGATAATTCTGTCTTAAGTTAATATCATTATTTTAATGTTTTTTTTTGGTTAATCTAGTATTCTGAGACAGCAGTTGTTCCTCGTGATTCTATCTTGGCAACAGAAGTGAAGTGGCTAAAATCCATCAAAGCAGACTTAGTGGTAATCACCTACTTATACTTTTTTACTTTTTGGCACTTCTAATTTGCTTACAACAACAATACCACTTTTCTTAAGTTATATTTATGTAAATATAGATGACTGGATTGAAGCTTCTTTAGCATTTCTATCTTCACCAAACTTTTCTTCCATGTGGTTTTGTTATAAAACAGGTGTCAGATGTTGTTCCAGTTGCTTGTCGTGCAGCAGCTGATGCTGGTATTCGTGCAGTTTGTGTAACAAATTTCAGGTAGCTGAATGGTTTCTTGAAACTGTAACAGGGTCCATATATAATAACATTTTAATCCATTAAACCATATGAGGCATGTTACCTTTTACTTTTTAGAATGAGGTGCTCATTATATACAATTTTGAGAGTGAAAACTGAAAAGCTCCTTATGGAAGATGAACAATTGCTTTAGCTATCTGCCAATTTCAATTGATCTTAAATTTGATTGTTGCAGTTGGGACTTCATTTATGCAGAATATGTTATGGTTGCTGGATATCATCATAGATCAATTGTTTGGCAGGTATTCTATTCTATGTTTCTTATACTGAACTTCATCATAATATACACTTTCTCTTGCCATCTCTAAACCCTAAACCTAAACCCTAAACCTAAACTATATCTTTTTATGAATCAATAATATTCGTTCCAAAATAACAGATGCTAATGGATCTTGAAGTACTAACAATTAACAAAAGGAGTTTCAAATTAGTTGTAGAAGGAGATTAGGATTCAGAAAAAAAAAGAGAGAAATATAACAATGCAATAATGCATGCCTTGAAAAAATACTAAATCATTGATTTTTAGAGCATCCACAATGAGAGAGAGGGTTGATGTGGCATTGAATGGGAGTTAGATGCATTATAAGTTTGATGATGGGAGGTTGAATCGATGGGGAGTTGAATCCCTATTTCTAATTAAATGACTTATAAATAGCATGCTGATTTGTCAATTTATTAAACTTTTGAAAAGTTGGATGGATTGTAGAAATAAACTTTGTAGAGTTGAATGGATTGTGGATGCTGATGTGGCAATCCATTAAACTTGTAGAGTTGAATGGATTGTGGATGCCCTTATGTACTATATCATTGAAAAAGAAACACTTTCTTTATTTTCTAGTAAGTGGCTAGCTACCTGTCTCGAGTTGCTTTAGCATATCAATGCAATTTACTGTTTTACCCTTTGACAAAATTTGATACAGATAGCTGAGGACTATTCACATTGTCAATTCCTAATACGTCTTCCAGGATTTTGTCCAAGTATGATGATTGCACATATTCTCTTATATATTTCAATATATAAGATTTTAATGATTTAAATAAAAATAAATTTCATCTGAAGTGCCTGCTTTTAGAGATGTGGTTGATGTACCTTTGGTTGTAAGGAAGCCACGAAAATCACGCAAGGAGGTTTGTAGCCAATATCATTTTTTTTAAAATCATTTTACATCAACACTGCTTCCTCTTTATTTCTTTTTTTTTTTTTTTCTTTTTTCTTTTTTGTGCTCTATTCTAACACAGGTAAGAGACGAATTAGGTATCAAAGACAATGAGAAGGCCATGGTACTCAACTTTGGTGGACAAGTAAGTTGAGGATCTTTTCTTGTGATAGTTTTACTTTTCATAATTCACTAATTTCTTTCATTCATCATTAACAATGGAGTAATAATTTTGCTTCCTCTCTTAGAAGATACTCAGTAGACCGAAGTAATTAGTAAAATATAATTTAAGTATTATCAAAAAATGACCAATTTTCATAACCTTTTAACAACATAACCACCTATTTCGTAGTGGGTCTGTTGCAAAATTTTAAAAAAATAAATATGAAATACTTTTAACTGACAAAATGCTATAACTTAACTTAATTTTTAACCTTCAATGCATGAAAATTTGCAGTCATTAGGTTGGAACTTAAAGGAGGAGTACTTGCCTCCTGGTTGGATTTGCCTGGTATTTTTTCTCTCTTTTTCCATATCTACCCTTTTGTATCCAATGTAAAAAAAATATATATTTGTGCAAAAAGTTGTATGGCTCAGGTTTGTGGAGCACATGACAATCACCAGGAGCTTCCTCGCAATTTCAAGAAGCTGGCAAAAGACGTGTATACCCCTGATGTCATGGCAGCATCTGACTGCATGCTTGGTCAGTGATAAAAATATATTTAAAAAAAAAAAGTTTTCTTTCCTTTTGCATTCCAGACTCATTTGACATAAAGTGTTTCAGGAAAAATTGGATATGGAACCTGTAGTGAAGCTTTGGCATACAAATTACCTTGTGTGTTTGTACGTAGAGATTATTTCAATGAAGAACCATTTTTGAGAAATATGCTTGAGGTATCACAAAACACAACTATCAACTTTTTAAAAGTTATTACAAGAAATTTTAAACTAAGAAACTCTTGATGATATTACAGTATCATGAAGGTGGTGTTGAGATGATAAGAAGGGACTTACTTGTAGGTCATTGGAGGCCATATCTTGAAATAGCAACTACTTTGAAACCTAGCTATGAGGGTGGGGTCAATGGTGGTGAGGTATATTGCTATTGATGTGTTTTATAGATAGACTTAACAAGGGTAAATTGGGTAAAATACAGAGTACATTGCTATTGATGTATTTTTTTTTTAATATAAATTCAGGTTGCAGCCAAGATTTTGCAGGATGCAGCTCATGGAAAGAATTACAAGTCAGATGAGGTTGAAAATTTACAACTTACTTCAAACCTAATGTTTTTTTCAAAGAAATTACTAAATCTTGTTATTTATCTACAAGTTTAAAATTTAATATTTTTGTTTTAGGATAGTGGGGCAAGGAGATTGTGTGATGCCATAGTGCTTGGATTTCAATTACAAAGAGCTTCAGGAAGAGATATCAGTATCCCAGAATGGTATACTAATGCTCAAAATGAACTTGGTTTTCGTACAGGATCACCACAATCATCTGATGCTGCTAATAATAATTCTAGCTTTTTTCAGAATTCGTAAGCTTATTTTTCTCATTACAAGTGTATAAGTATATTAATTCAACATGACATGATGATGAGTTTTGAATATATTTGTGTAGAGTTTGTGATGAGTTTGAGATTCTTCATGGAGATGTAAAGGGTCTTCCAGACACCATCAACTTTTTGAAAAGTTTGGCTGAATTACGTGTCTCTCATAATTCTGAAAAGCCATACATAAGAGAACGCAAGGCTGCAGCTGCTCTCTTTAACTGGGAGGTCTGTTTCCAAACTAAAATATTATTTTTATCTTTTCACTAAAATAAACTGCTTTCTGGGGCTATTTTTGAAGAGGGCATTTATGTATTTTACACATACGAAAGATCGAGAGCCAGTCTAGATTTCCTTAATGTTTTCTAATCCAAAATCAATCATGCAACTTATTTTAAATTTTATTTAGATCAGATGAAAGCTGTTCTTATTTCCTTTTTAAGAAAGTTCCAATCTTCTTGTTGCATTGTTTACTTATACAGGAAGAGATATATGTGGCAAGGGCACCAGGAAGATTGGATGTAGTTGGAGGAATTGCAGACTACTCTGGAAGCCTTGTTTTGCAGGTAATCTTATTTTTTTTTAAATTTTTTTTGAAATGAAACTAAATTAGAGAAAGTTTTGGAGAATCTCCATTTTTTTTTTTTTTTGTGATACTTGAAAAATACAGAGGGAGAAACTGACAGCTATACATAACCTATAAGGTTTCCAACATGGCATATATATTAGACTAGTATGCTAAAAGAGAATATGGTATAAGGATGTATTGAAAATACAAATTCTATTTTTCATTTCTTTGGAAAATCAATTGGCTTATTATTGCAGATGCCAATTAGAGAAGCTTGCCATGTTGCTGTGCAAAAGATTCAACCAACCAAACAGAGGCTCTGGAAGCATGCACAGGCTCGACAGCAAGCCAAAGGACAAAAACAAACACCTGTTCTCCAAATTGTAAGTTTAAATAATCTTTTACTAAAGCTACACTTTATTTTAAAATTTTCAATTTTCTATTACAAGTTACTCTATTATACCAATGAAATCTGAGTTGTGTTGCTATAATCTTAGTCAAAGTGAAAAGAATCTCTTAAAAAATATACGTTTTTATCAGGTGTCATATGGATCAGAGTTGAGCAATCGTGGTCCAACATTTGACATGGACATATCAGACTTTATGGATGGAGGGAAACCGATTTCATACGAAAAGGCAAAACATTACTTTTCCCATGATACATCTCAAAGGTCTTCCTTCTTTATTTTTTGTTTCTCTCTTCAAAAGTATATGCTATGCTATGCTATGTTATGTTATGTTATTTTATGTTATGTTATGTCATGCAGATGGGGCCTAAGTGATATTCTATACTAATATGGTTTTTTAGATGGGCTGCATATGTTGCTGGTGCCATTATTGTTTTAATGAAAGAATTGAATGTCAGGTTTGAAAGCAGCATCAGCATGCTGGTATATCAGTGAATCCAATTCTATATATATTTTAAAGCATGTTAGATATTGGTTTTTTATTTAAAAAGTTATGTTGCATAAATAAACAGGTTTCATCTGCTGTTCCAGAAGGAAAAGGTGTTTCTTCTTCTGCATCTGTGGAGGTAGCTACCATGTCAGCTATTGCTAATGCTCATGGTAATTCGGATACTTCTCTTCCACCTTTAGCATCTTACTTTTTTTTTTTTTTTTTTTTTTTTATCTATACTCACTCATTAACAACTTAATATGGATTATGTTTTTACTAACTTTTCATGCATAAATGCATACATTAAGTCGGATTTTTTGGCTTAACTCATTAAGTCATATTATCCCGATTAAGTGCTTAACCCATTAAGCCAAAAAGAAACAACTCCTTACTCGCTTACTTTCAACTTTAAACATAAAAAAGGTTGCATTTATTTAGTCCCTGTACTATGTCAAAGTATATGGATTTAGACGAGTTGTTTGATTGCCTACTTTAGTTTAGTTGCATGTTTGGTAATGCATCTGCGAAGTCCATGCTAAATGTCCATTTTGCCCCTGTCTTCTCCATTTCCATCTTCAACAAACCCTACATTCAAACACAATTTAAATGATTGGGAATTTGAGATGTACCTCGTCTTTGCTTCCCAGGATTAAATATCAGTCCAAGAGAGCTTGCTTTACTCTGCCAAAAGGTACAAATCCTTGAGAAACCCTCCCACCCAAAAAAAAAGCACATACACACACACCATCAGTAAAGTAGTAAAGAGATGACATTACTTAATATTATACAAACAGGTGGAAAATTATGTGGTTGGAACACCATGTGGAGTGATGGACCAAATGACTTGTGCATGTGGTGAAGAAAACAAGCTTCTTGCAATGATTTGTCAGGTATATATATATGATACATTTCTTAATAAATGGATTTATACATTAAATAAATATTTAGCTTGAGAAGATAATATTATATCAAAATTTGTGCAGCCTGCTGAGGTATTAGGGCTAGTGGATATTCCTAGTCACATACAGTTTTGGGGAATTGACTCTGGTATACGCCACAGGTATATCCATCCAATTCCTCTAGTTAATATATATATATATATATATATATATATATATATATATATATATATATATAATGAGGGTATTTTGGTCTTTTAACAAAAACACGGAGAATAGAGTTGAATTCCTTCTAGGAATGATGAAGTCCATCAAACATGGAGTGTCTTTTCAAAAATCTTACCCAATTATAATTTATATCATCAATCTTCCTCTGTTATTAGGACATTATATTTTCAAAGTATAACATTGTAACATGAAGAAATGGAAGTAGGATGCTAAAATATAAAAATCAATTGCTATTTATTTCTGCAGTATTGAGGGTGCTGATTATGGATCTGTAAGGATAGGAGCCTTTATGGGTCGAAAAATTATCACATCTATTGCATCTTCTATGATTTCTCAAGCATCTTCAAATAGTAATGGGCATAATAATCATGAGCATGACATTAGCCTACTTAAAACCGAAGCTTCTTTAAATCATTTGTGCAATCTCACCCCACACAGGTACGTATTAAGCCATTCTTTTGTATTAAATAAAAAACACCCATTTCCATTACTAAATCACTTGCATATTAATATTATTATCCAGATATGAACATACATATGTTAAGAATCTACCCGAGTCTATATCTGGTGAAGCCTTTTTGAAAGAATATAAGGATCACAATGATTCAGCCACAGTTATCAATGCCAAACGTATTTACCCCATCAAACCAGCTACCACACATCCCATTTATGAAAATTTCCGTGTCAAGGTTAGCAACTTAACTTTTATATAAATCTTGTATTAATTTAATTCCTGTTTTTTTTTATACATATAATCCACAGGCCTTCAAAGCACTACTAACATCATCACCTTCAGAAGACCAACTCACTGCTCTTGGAGAACTCCTGTATCAGGTATTATATTTGAACTTCTAGAAACTTCTAGATGCTCATCTCATTTACAAATTTAAATTTGTACATCGTTCCTTATTTGTGTATTATGCAGTGTCACTATAGCTACAGTGGCTGTGGATTAGGGTCATATGGAACAGATAGACTCATCCAATTGGTTCAAGAAATGCAACACAATAATAATAATAATAATAAATCAACACAAACAGATGGAAGCTTATTATATGGGGCAAAGATCACTGGAGGTGGATCTGGTGGGACCATTGGTGTTCTTGGAAAGAATTATCCTCAAACTAGACAGCGTATCACTCAGGTATTTATAATTTACTCAAAACATTTTTTACAATTTTTTTGTTTTTTATACAAAATCTGAGATTCAACCTTTCAACAGGAAAGTTTCCAAAAATTCCAAATCAATTCGAAAATATTGTTTCATCAAAATGCAATAAATATTTTATTGTTATTAATAATGAATAATAAGTATCAGGTGTACAAATAAAAGTTTAGTGACCATTTTGGAATTCCATGGAAGTATTAAAAAAAACTGGCTAAACCTATAATTACCAGTCATAATGGTATAAATATTTTAATAAAAAATTGTTGGGTAGATTTTTAAAGTACAATGTCTTAATAAGAAAAAAAAAGATTAAAAGTACATTGCCATGTTTTCAACATGTGTGCAGATTCAAAAGAGATACCAAAATGCAACAGGCTACAAGCCATTTGTCTTTGAGGGTTCATCACCGGGTGCAGGGAAATTTGGTTATTTGAAAATTCGAAGCCGTGACGTGAGCCAGAAAAACAAGTAATATATTTTTTTTTTTTATGAATGTAGATCCATAATCGTATATTCGTATTCTTGCTAGGAAAAGAAGATTTTGTTGCATATCAAATGTTTTTTTTTTGTGGTTGAAAAATACAATTCTTGGGGTGTTGTATGGCTTTATGTTCAATTAGGTTCCCTGGATCCATCTTGTTAGCATTCCTAAACGCTTGTAAAATTTTGGTTTTATTTACAATTTTATGAATGTAAATCCATAATCGTATAACCGTGTTATGTCCCCATATATTTTTTAATTTGGACCTTCCTTGTGTTATTAATAAAAATATAACTTAATATAAAATAAATAATAGTAAATGAATTATAACTTATTTATTAATTATCTAGTATATCAACCGGTTCATTTTACAATTACTATGTGGTCTATTTGGTGGAATATACACATTGTTCTAAGACTATATAAATTTTCACGAGTGTTGAACACTTGATGAATAAAAATACATATCCGGTTAATTTGAAAATTATAACATATAACAACCTACAAATATAACAACCTATAAATATATGCCTGGTCAATTTAAAAATATATCCGGTAAAAATACAACATATAACAACCTACAAATATATGCCTGGTCAATTTAAAAATCTTTCCCTATGATTCAATTGTTGTAGATATATGGATGCAGACCGAGATATGAGAGTATGAATCAAAGTAATTGAGAGTATGAATAAAGGTAATTGAGAGTATGAATCAATACGTGATAATAATTCAAATGAACATATTGTGCGCCGATTTGAAGGTATGCATCACAAGTCTTATATCATGATTTGAATATGTCGTTTTAATTATCAATTATCAATTATCAATTTGAGTTTAAACGGATTAAGATAGTGAAGATTCCATGTCTCAATTATTAATTATCTATTAGTTAAAGATTCCATGTGTTTCAATTATCAATTATCGATTCGAATTCCAATGGATATACACATCGAAGATTCCAAGACTCAGTTATTAGTTACGGTAAAGATTCCACTCTTTCAATTTTTTTGATGAAAGTGATAAGTAATTTATACATATGGTCCCTAAAGTTATAAAGAATGTGCAGTAAATGAATTATAACTTTTTAACATAAAAAAAATATTTTCTAAAAAACATATTGTAACATCTCGATTTTCAAGTATTTACCTTTTAACCCCCTTAGTATGAGAATTGTTTGCATTTTGACCCTTAGAATGAGTTTTGTTTGCAAATTGATCCCATGTGGCACTTAAGGAAGAAAAGCGCCATGCATGAGTATGTTGGGCGTACTCCCAGAGTACGCTGGGCGTAAGGTCCATGAAAGAAAACGTCGCCGTTTTGGAGTACGTTGGGCGTACTCGGTCTGGATGAAAACGCTAATGTTTGGGGTTTGTGCACTATTTAATCCCCTCTATAGCATCAAGACCTTTCCTTTCATCAGCCTCTATCACTCATCTTGACCTTTGCAAACCCTAACCTCTTGTGTAGACATTTTGACATTGTGTGTGTGTTTTTGGTGATCTTGAAGGAAGGGGAAGGTGGTGGAATCATCTTGGGAACTAAAAGGGAGCTTAGATCCAGAAGTACCCCCTCCCACCCCCCCCCCCCTTTCAGACATCATTTGGAGGTAAAAAGCTCTGACCTTGATGAATATTGCTCTTATTTCTTGTTGTGGTTAAGTTTCATGTATTTTGGTCCCTTTTGCTTGGTGTTCTTAAGTATGGTCTACTCTAGACTTCATGAGTTGTCCTTTAAAAGGTTTTGGAGTAGCTTGAGCATAAAAATGGGTTCTTGGTCGTTACTATCCTTTCATGCATGAACTAGGAAGTCTTAATGGGTTAAGGAGTTAGGGTTTTTGGTATTTAACACTTTAGAGCCATGAAAAGTCATAAAGTTGAAACTTTATGACTTAGAACTTCATTTTGGGCTTAGATCTGAGTTTTGGGCAGAAGGGCTTAATGGATTAAGTTCTTCATGGAATTTTGGGACTGGGCAGCGTACACGCAGCACCCCGCTTTTTGGTCAACATCAGAGTACGCTGGGCGTACTCTAGTATTACGTCGGGCGTAATCCGCTGTGAAAATTTATTGACTTTTGGACCTTTGAACGTTGACTTTAACTTTGACCAGGGCTGACCAAGTTTGACTTAAGGGTATTTTGGGTATCCTGAGCTATAGTTAATCCTTGGTCTCTATCTATTGATTAGGTGACCTGTAGAGCTGGTTTTCGGAGCAGTGTGTTGTTCAGCTATTCGTCAGTTTGAAAGGTGAGTTTTCCTCACTGAACTCGTGGGTCGAAGGCACCAATGTCGGCCCACTAGATTATGTATCCTGGTTATAAGCTAGTTTATGTTGGTATGTGGCTGAGTAGTAGATCTGCATGATTATCTATATTTTCCGGTTCTGTGTTTATGTTTATCTAATATATATATATATATATATATATATATATATATATATATATATATATATATATATATATATATATATATATATATATTGACAACCATCAAATTCAAGTCAAAGTCAACAAGTCAAACCGGTCAAACTTAACTAGTACTTGTATGTTAAAACTTATTCTATGTATAAAAATGTGCATTTGTATGTCAAGAATTCAAGACCCTTTTGGGGACTTAAAACAATCATAAACGAAGCATAATGGGGTTCACGAACCTTGCATTACGAGGTTATACAATAATAATGACTAAAATTTAATCTCTCCCAAATCTCTCTCAAAATCTCTCTCAACTTTTTATAGTCATCCGGGTCATCCCGACCCTTAACTTGGCCAAAAACCGCTTGAATCGGGGAGTTATATTGAAAAACAGCTAAATAGGGCCGAAACCCTCTTAGGAACCGAACCTCTTAGGAACCGAACCTTTTAGAGCCGAACCATCCTATTAGGACCGAACTGCTCAGGACCGAACCGAACTGCTCAGGACCGAACCGAACTGTCAGAACCGAACCTAGCATCTCGGACCGAACCCTCTTGCACCCGAAATGAACCGAGCCCTCGGTCCATTTTGGTTCCCTCTCACCTTCGGGCCCGAGCCTCCCCCTTCGGTTCCTTCTCCCACTTTTGGTTCCTCATTCTCCCTTCTCTCGGTTCTCATCTCCTAAGGACCGAACCTCGCAGGTTCGCTCCTAATTCCCGGTTTTCGACTACTTTCGCCTCTTAAGCCCGTTTTTTAAGGGGATTTTTCACCAAATTCATATTTTTATCATTTTAAAGTCCCTAAACTTATATTTTATTCATTTCTCAAGGATTTATTAATTATAAATCATTATTTTACATTAAGAAGAATATTCTACACCATAAGTGGGTCAAGTGTGCCCACTTGCCTCCATGTGTCATCTCCTCATTGGCCCAATCTTATCCACATCACACAAACCAAGGTAAACATCATTTCAACTTGCAAATTGCTCCAGCAACCTTCACTATATAAAGAAATCCCTGGAGGATTTCTTGGTTTACCTTGATCATTCCAAACTTACACACTTCTTAGCCCCTCAAGAAAGCCTCTTTTTCTCTCTACTTCCCACTACTTTGTGAAAGTGTTCTTGAGCTACTATTTCACTTTTTGGTAAGTATTTCATTTAAAACTCAAGTGTTATTCCATATTTTCCTAACACTCTTGGATCATCTACCCACATCTTAACACCAAAAATCGTTCTTAGGATCATCCAAGCTTTCACGTGTTCATCAAGTGTTCTTGACTTGATACTCCTCGTCTTCAACCTTCCACTCTTCAAGAAATCACTCTAGGTGAGTTCATACCCCCACATTTTCCAGTTTTCTTTAGTTTTCAGGGGGGGAATACAAGTTAAAACACCAAAACATATTTAAAACTTAACTTGACAGTTTACAACAGAAAAGTTGTGACCTGTTCACGAACTATTTTCCCCAACTTAAACTTAATATTTTTCAAAACTGTTTAATATGAAAATAGTTCAGGTTTATACCTTTAAAATGACTACTTGCACATCTCCATACCATTTTTCTACAATTTGTGGTGATTTTTACAAAACTGCCTATCACTGCAGCAACAAAGTCGGACCAGGTTGTGAAGATGAACATTTTCACACTGGTTTGAGACCACCAAAAATTATAGGAAAATTTATGAATACAGTAGACTCTTTTTCCAAACTCTCAGAGTTTACGGATTCAGTTTTCGACTTACGATGATTTTTCTATAAATATTCTAAAACAGTGACAATTAAGGGTAAAACAGTCAAACACAAGTTTAAGAGTTATTCACACCTTATAATGTCACACCCCAAAACCGAGAACGGCGGAATACGTTCTGGGGTGGAGGACGTCATGTACAGTATCATAACAAAGCATAATAGTAAAGACAAGCAAAAACATCCATTGCATCAAGATAATAATTGTAATACAAACGTGTTCAGTACAAATGTTAGACACCAAAAATACAATCAAAATAAAGTGGAGTCTTATGTGTGCTCCGTCTTCTCAAAAGCTGCATCCGTACCTGTCTACTGATGACCTGAGAATACAAGTTATTTTGAAAAAGTTTATCAGCATAAAGCTGGTGAGTTCATAAGTATTTAGTGTCATTTCCTGTATAAAAATATTCACAATTATACATTTGTAAAAGAAAGTTTTTGTGTTCGAAAATAGTATGAGCCCTAGAAAACCCTATGTTTTCCAGAAAAAGTAGTCTTCACCAAGACCCGATGGTTTGTTTGTTCCTTTGATAATGTACAAGTTTTCCCAGTAATTGTTTGTTTGAAAATATAGTTTTAGACTTTATTCACGTATAGTAATGAGAAAAATGTTTTACCCCAACAGTATCACTGTCGGCCATATGTAATGAAATGCAGGCTCCTGGTAGTATTAAATGTACAATACTCCTCAGGGAGTCTGTTGCCTTTAATTCTTAAAGTATTAATTAAAGGTTTGAATGTGAACTCGTACGTAACCATGCTGATTGACGATCGAATCCCTTTGACCCTCCAAGTCATATGTAGATGTGACATTTTGTCACCCCTGGGCCTAGACGGCTCGGACTGTAGCTAGCAGTCGGGATGTGGGAGTGTCTGTCCCGTATAGATCTATACACATAATGCCCGCTCTCCCTCCAGGAGACTCTGGTTACGCGGTGATAGCACAAAGATGTGTCGTATCGAGAAATAGTATGTCACATTCTATTTTAGTAAGTTCTCTTGTATAGTATGTAGTGTTCTCTTTGTATAGTACATAATGTTCTCCTTGTATAGTATATAGTGTTCTCTTGTATAGTATATAGTGTTCTCTTGTATAGTACATAGCATGTATTGACTCACAACTGAACTGACGCTAGTAGTTGTCATGGCAATAGTAGAACTGAGTAGTATCCCTTAACTATACCTATTATAGTTAAATAGTATTGTTGGTTGCATGTCTTTGATATCCAAAGGCATTGTACTCATATGAAAACTTTTATATCTGACACAAATATATGAGATATATAACTAAGAATTCAACGAGAGTCGGACTAATAACAAAATACCCTAAGCCCACAATCAAACAAGAACAGGAAGTAAGGTGAGTTATTAGTCCTAAGTCCTTCAAGTCTTACTTATATAAATATATTGGTGTAGATATGGTTTGGGAATAAAAATAGTTTAAAAGAATTTTCGAAAATAGTTTTATAGTGATTTAACACGAAAATGAATTTGGTAAGC